TCATGATACCACCTCAGGTAACACCTAATTCCAGAAGTCCCACATGTATTTTTGAAGTCTTCAGGCAGGTTAGAAGACATGAAGGGTTCATTCACCCCCTTCTCCAACACAGGATGATTCTCAACGATTCAGAGAGCACCACTGACTCCATCCTCTGCGTCAGAAACACTGCACTCCCAGGAAGTAGGTTGGATATTGGAGGTCATTCAACCCAGAAAATAGAAGGCAGATCCTGCAGCACAAGCTACATTTTGCATTTGTCTTATTACTGGGAAATAGATTGCACCTTGGTCATCTCAAGGTTCCAATGTTTGCAATATGCATGCACATTTCCTGTTGCTGGAAGCATTAGGCTGGTCATACCTATTAAGATTCTTCTCATTCAGCCCCGCAGGCTGAACTAGACAAGTCTTTCAGTTCTTCCATCAATTCCAAACAGCAGGGTTGGAGGAATCTCCCCGCCAGCTATTTTACTCTGACAGCTGAAGTCACTGGCTGATTGGTTGCTGTCACTGTTTGGCCAACAACATTCTACCATCACCTATGACAAGCCAGTTGAAGAATTAACTTTTGTTGAGCTGGGTGGTGGCAGTAGCAGGGCCTCCTGCGGATCAAGTTTCAGCCGATTCAATAGGAAATGGCTGAAATTCGTTCTATGTATATGCCATATATGTTCTATGCCATACATGAAAAACGAACCTGTCACAAGTCTAGTGAGATTTGTCTTATGTGCACTGGCCTCGCATACAACACGCTAATGCTCATTTAGGAGAAAACCAATTAACCTAGCAGTATATTTTTGAATTGGGGAGGAAACTGGGTCATTGCGTCTACTCTCAAACACGTCTAGCACTTTGCAGCCTCTGAGGAGCTTACAGTCTGTTTGCGTGAGCTGACTTGCGGCACATATAAGCCAAAAATATATCTAATCCTCTAATCATGACATTGCACGGAGCCCTAAATTAACAAGATTGGGTTTATTTGTAGAGGGAAAAGCTGGTCTTCTGTAATCTTCGGCGAGACACGAACACAGCTTTGTATCGCTGAAAGATTGTTTGTCACGTTAGGTGACTGGGCCACTTGCCCCGTAAGAGGGAGTTCTGGGAAGTGTGTATCGGCTGCCATGATATTCTGGCACAAATCTGTGTTTATTACATTGACAATGAAGATGAGGAAAACCTACCATATTTTATATCACTATATAGATAACTTGATTTACCATGGCCAGGTTTAGTAGCCTTTATTTACTGCCCTATTTATCTTCTTGAACATGTGGTAGCACACTGTCTGCTTACCACCCTTCCAGTGTTCCTCCATTTTATTTCCTGTGAACTGGCCGAAATTGGAGCTGTGGGTGACCCTGCCAACACCACCCGGCTTGAAAAACTTGAATTAAAAAATTAAAGGAGCTGGGTGGAAAAAGTCAGCCTGGGCTGAAGGATAGACATCGTTATGCATATGGCCAACTTGACTTTACGTTGCTGTAAAATATTATGACCACCAGGGACAGTGGCAGAGAGATGCTTATATGAAAGCACCTGTTTTTAAATGCTTGACTCTAGAAAAAAAAAATTATTTGTAGAGAGGAGAATTAAGACTTTTTAGCAGCGTGTTCCTATTGCCCTTCACTTCCTGTTCTGGTAACACTGTGTATGTCAAGTGGTGACAAGTGGTCTTTGGCACAAGTAGCGAGGGGAGATCTCCCCATTGGAATACAGACAGTGATGGAAAAAACTCTGCCATGTAACCCACTTTTAAAAATGTTTTGGCTGGAGCAAGGCTTTACATTGTAAGAAATACTGTTGTATTGGTGTTTCCACTTCTCCACTTGCAGTCTCAGTCATTTAGAATACAAGAGGGATATTGGGTTCCTTCATGATCACTGCAACAAATATGCAGACCTGGGCAAGTAAAGTGCTGGAAGTGCACAAGACCATTACTGCAGCATCATCCTAAAACAGAAATATTAAGTTGACCCTTTCAAATAGACATTGTGTAAAATTGAGTGTGTCAAAAAAGGTACAAAAATGTTTCAACATATCATAAATAGTAATCTCTTATGAGATTAGTTATCCCCTCACTGTGCCTCCTCTGTTGTTCCCTACTCACATCATCCTTGTTCCTTACTCTTATGGGCTGGCATCGCTTCATGATAATGGCATGTAAACCCAGATCAGGGCAGTAACTATATCACAAGCTCCCCTTTTGAGGGCCACCATGTCTCATAACTGTGCACAAAATTGCTGAAGTCCTTCTCTAAGTCTGCTCCTTGTTGGCAGAGGCTATTAGAACTGTGCCGTGGCACATGTCACGTGATCAAACATGGCATGGGAGAGTCGTAGCTAACTATAAAAATGACTCCAAATGGAATCCAATATTTGTGACTACATTTGGCAACCAACATGTTTATGGGCTTTGTTCCAGCTGCTGTACAGAGGAATAATCAATCAGGCAAGTTAAAAACACTGTCCAGGTCACTATGGTTCCTTCCTGAGATAAGTGCTGCTGGCAGTGACTGCCAGAGCTGTCACTGCCTCTCCATATCAAGAGGTATGACGCACAACCCTATGGAGATCTTCCTCCGATATGTAGGGCACAGAGAGAGAGACAAGCATGCAATGCAGTTGGACAAAATGGGTAACGATCGCCTACAGCTGTCAGTTAAAACAAGAGTACACATTCTGATGACCCTCCAAGCGGCAAATCATATGAAGTGCACCCCATCACCAAACTTAGACAAATGCTCACTCACCAGAGACGGCACAATTTGGGCGGGGGGTAAAAGGAGTGCTGAGGAAGCATAGAGCATCCTAAGGAACAATTTCATAAGCACTGTTCTATTGATAAAGCTGTAAAAAATAAACCAAAGCAACTGGACTTGCTGTATTTTTCTTGAAGACGTTTCGCTGGTCATCTGACTAGCTTTCTCAATTCAGAATCATTCTGAGTTGAGAAGGCTGGTCAGATAACGAGTGAAACGTCTTTGAGAAAGTATACAGCAAGTCCAGTTGTTTTGGTTTATTTTTAACAGATTTACCATGACCTGGATGCATAAGAACCTCCACAGACATAATGTTCCATTGATGTTTTGAAGGATTGCTATGTTTTATTGGTGGACTTATGTCTGTTTTTTATTTGGGCGTTTTACATCTGTTTATTTTGGTGCATGCTATTAGAGGTACGGGACCTGCGGTGTGAAACCTAGAGGTAATTTTTTCACCGCCCTTTCTCAGTATGTGTCCCGAACATTAAAGCCCCGGCAGAGATTGTATCAGCTGGATCATAGCTTTTGTCTTTGTGACTTGTTTGTTTCCACAGACACATAGCTCAGTATGACTGGTGTCCCCTGCCGCAGGTCATTAAATCACAGCCACTGCTTCTATAGAGGAGCTCTCAGCCTGGACAGGCCCTGATAACATTTTTATTGTTTGCTATCGCCTGTGTACACTACCAGGAATGGCACCAGGCTGAGGTGGATAAGTGCGGCTTCTGCTACTTAAAGGAAACCGCGCAGTGCAGCAAAAACTGTTTAGGTAGGCTATGATAGAAGCAGCTGCTTCCAACTTTCTGCTGCAGCTTTACTGCCATGGCACTGTGTGTAATATGGGTCTACAAAGCCGGCAGGGGCTGCTGTCACCCAGAAACGTTCTTTGGCTAAGCACCAAATATAAAATTACCATATATCCCTGGTGTTAAACCTGCGGCCCGGAATCCATTTGGCACATGTTGTGCAGCCCTCAGGGCCCCTGTAGACAATGGTCTGTTTTGGTGATTACTGGTTTGGTTTGGTCGGATCCTCTATAATAAATCTTACTGAGAGAAATATCAAATGTAACGCCAGTCATTTTTAAGGGGGTGGCACAAATGTGGAAGCATTGACTTGTAAAGAGGCTGTAATAACTCTGATCTCTGGTAGTCTCTTGCAATGTGTCTCCTGAAGCCTGTCCCCATATTACCTACTCCATCCAAAATGGAAAGAACATGCCTGGGTCACAGTCTCTGCTGCCTCTGATGGAAGTGGGCCCTTTGGTGATGGTGAGGACACAGTGAAGCCTGTCAACACTGGCCCCATATATTTTTCTTATTCTAGCAGTACAGTATGCACAGCCCTAAGGAGAGGGCAATTTGCCAAGATAAAGTGCACATTTCGGCCCTCCATCTCAATTGCATGCCTTAGATTATGAAGCCTCGAGCTACAAAGTATACCCTAGAACTAGTGGATAGTCCAGTCCAGGCAGTCGGGTAATAGAGAAGCCTTAATGGTCTCTTAAAGTCACACTGTAGCTTTGCCACACATTCCAAGCCTCGACCTTTAAATGTTTCACGGTCATTAAGAAATGCCAAGTTGACCACATGTAACAACAATAAGGAGCACAAACAACACTGCATGGAGTGGAATATATTGTTTGCACTTGTATTCCTCACAATATATTGGGGCTTTGTGCTATTTTATTTTGTTCATTTCACTTTTATTTATAGTTTTCCGAGTCACTTTATTTGGCCTTAGAGCTGATCAAATACTGTCTTGTACAGGTTTGTCACTGATGATTTGTATATATATCACATTTTCTATACACTTTTAATGAACTTTAAATATATTTGATTATATCAATTAAGAGATTTTTAGTTTGTCAACAATAATATTTGACACATCATTTTTTGTGATTGCACTTTTGGCCGCTTCCTGGCGTGTGCTATATGTGATTGATATTTAGCGCTGTGTGTTTGACTTTTTTCACTGTGATTTTGTTCACAGCACATTTTTATCGTGTTTATCAACTTTTTGGACCCTGTATCCATTCCATTTATACATGTAACAACCGGCCTAGCTTGTCAGGCATGAAACTGGAAGAACACCAGTATATGTATATAATGCCTTTGTATAGGCATAGCAAGGAGGATTCCAGAGAAATGGTGACTGCTGATAGACGATAAGAACTTGAGAGAAATACATGTGCTGCCAATAATAATAACCAACTCCTCCTTTTTCTTTCTGACAGATGAAGATCTCTTTCAATGAGCAGAACATCCACACAATGTTTGAGTATCCTTCTGAGAGCTCGCTTGTAGAAGAGGTACCGGAAGAAGAGGGGAATTATGCATCTGGCTCCGAATCAGAGGAGGAAGATAAACCATCTGGTCTCTTTATCCCGCGAGTAACGTTTGGGAGCAGTGGAACAACAAGCAACGGCCTACAGGCCAAATCTAACTCAGGTAATGTCCCAATTTTTATGCTGGGCACAAGTCATGAGTATACCTTTGCTGGTTTGGCAACCAGAATAAAGATGGGCTATCCATTAGCGGCTTGTTCACACCATGTCTGTTGAGCTGCATTTTTCTGCACACCACCGCATATGTATGGTGTATACAGGGCACATAGAGAACAATTGTTGTTTGTGTACCTTGTTCACACCGTTCATGTGTGGCGGTGTGCAGAAAATGCAGCTCAATGGTCATGGTGTGAACAAGCCCTTAAAGTGGGTCCATCAGTAAGTTTACAAGTCTGCATAAATAAATTAATGGAATGCCACAATATGAAGAAGCAATTTCCGTTTACAAAAAGCTTTACCTTTTTATTATTAAAAAGTAATTACTGAGCTCCGATCAGGTGACTCTGACTAGGCTAGGCTGGCTCTAGCTAGGCTGAGGTGATGTCCACAGTCTGCTGTAGGCAGGAGAAAGCATTTCCTTAAGCTTACAAAGTTATTTTTTTTGGTGAACAAGAAAAATGTAACCGATTCCTCCATCCACGCTAAACAGTCTGGACGGACGAATCTCCCCCTGTGTCCTTTGTATTTTGACAGCGGCAAGTGTCTCGCTGCCAGAATACTTGAACAGTCATGGCGTCTGGTTGCCTGCCATCTATGTTCACCCAAAATGTTTCCATCCAGCTACTTCAATTTTCTGGTTGAAGGATGTTAGACAGGAGTGTGCCGACAGGGGCGCACCCTCTGTGCAAATTCTTCCAGTTCTTCATAAAATTCACACAGGGCCTTAGTCTCCTCTCCCTCAGATGGCACATTGTGACTTAAAGGAGAACTATGAGTTGAGTGATTTATACTCATCCTCATAGTTAGAGCTGAAGTGTGACATTAAATTGTTCATCAGCTCTATTGATCGTGAAGTGAGTGAGCGCATACCGTCACTCGCTCACTTTCCGATCATCTCCCTGCAGAGAGCGATGACTGTCAGTCAATGCTCCCTGCAGGGATTCTCCCCTCTCCGATCCTCCATCGCTGAGTGGAGGAACAGACAGGGAGGGCGCGTGCACAGCTGGTTCTACCTCTAGATAGGCAGAGCCAGCTGTCACTAACGCAGCTGGGTGGATCCAGACAGTATTGTCAGGATCTGTCCCGGCTGCGGCGCTCTCAGTATATAACGTGCAGTAGCCTGCTATATACTGAGCTTTGAGTCATGGGAGGATGCTAGTATATGTCCTTCTGTGACCCTGAAGAGAACTTTGGGATAAAAAGGTTACCCCATAGTTCTCTTTCAACTATAGAAAGTCACATGGGGAGAGGCTGTAGCAGGGGATGAGGTATCAGAATTTGTGAATGCTACCAATAACTGCACAGGCACCAGGATTTACAGGATGGTGTCATCTGATGCATTATCTCAGTCTAGAAAGCAGATGCAGATCCTGGATAATGAGCAAAGATGGTGTCATCTTTCTGGTAAGAAAAGCAGATGGAGGCATTTGTCATGGGGGAGTACTGTCATTTCTGTCCAAGGTATTAACACAATACTTGACATGCATCCACTTAATATTTAGGATCAAGTCTAATGCCAGGGCCACTTTAACTACAGGCGGTGCAAGTGCCCCAGTGTCATGTTGTCACGGTGTTTAGTTATAATCACCTTTTATATAGCAGCTGTGCGGACATTGCATTCTCTGCCGAATAATGTCACATTTCTCAGCTGCTTAACCTTTTAATAGGCTTAGTATGGAAATTCCCTTCATCGGGTAGGAAGATTATTTTTATTTTTTCGGGGGTCAATTTTACCAGATTTTACAGGAATTTGAATATATAGTTTAGGGATGCACCAATTACTTTCCGAGTACCCGTGCCGATACTTGGCATTTTCATGAGAACTACCAGGGTTGCAGCGGGGACCTGGCTCTGACGCTCCATCACTGTCCTGAAATCATTTGTCGATATTGTTTTAGAAAGACTGTCACATGACAATAAATAAAAATGTATCAGTACTTGTATCTGTAAGTACTTGGACAAGTATCAGTACTTGTACTCGCAAAACTGGTATCTGTGCATCCCTTTTATTTATATTTATAACAACAAAATCATACATTTAAAACAGAGATGTACAAATCCCAGGAGCTCCGTGTGCTCCTTACAAATGACAGCTGCCTCCTAACTTATGAATTTTCTCTAGTCTAATCTTGGAGCTGGAAAAGTATCTGTACTTATACCGAGTACTGTACTTAATATCAGTGCATCCCTAATATAGTTCAAACATATATAACTTATACATGAATGTAATCAGGTTGGTGTAAATGAGTGCCCTGCTTTCTTGTATAGGTTATAGTTCTATATGACGTGGGTGGCCATATTTTGCTCATTACATATGCAGAATGGATAATACTGATTGTGCTTTACACGTTTTCTCAGGCTGGTTGAAAAAAAACAACCTTTCTGGTTCAATGTTTTATCTCGGCAGCTGCTCGGTAAAGCTGGCTGTAGGCATCCAAAAGCCGGTGGGAGAGTGCAGCATTATGATTGGCTTCCTTATTGGCCAGTAGGAATGTGTGGGAAGCGGGAGGAGGCGGGCAAGCTTTGACATCATCAAAAAGTGCTGAAGCTTTGCCCATTTAGAGTGGCCCGACATCCAGACATAGAGGGCACAATGCAAACTGCTCCAGTTATTTTTACCTCTAGTTGCCTGCATGCAGGGCCGGTGCTAGATTATTTCGCGCCCTAGGCAAGGAACAGAACCCCCCAGCCCCCCTACCATGGAGCAACCTCCAACCCCCCCGCCCCCACGCAGCCCCATTCTCCTGCTTGCATGTAAGCAGCTGGGAGCATTTGCCAGACTGCTATTGGCTATTTTAATTTGAAATAGCCAATAGCAGGCTGGCTATTGAAACCCCACCCACTGAGCCGAGGATCGGACCTGAGAGAGAAAGTTGTGCCTCCCAGTTCTGCTCCTCTGCTCAGTGCGCAGGTGCAATAGCCAGCCTGCTATTGGCTCTTGCAATTTGAAATAGATGGGGGGGTTAGTGGTCAAGGCTGTGCCCTAGGCAGCAGTGCGCCCTAGGTGGCTGCCTAGTTTGCCTAGTGGCACCACCGGCCCTGCCTGCATGTCATACACGTCACCAGCTTTATGTTTATGTGATTTAGTCTTTTTTGCGGTCCCTATTCAGTAAAAGGCTGAACCGTTCTCTGGCAGCTAATAAGTCACATGTAGAAAATGTTCTAGAGGTAAACATGGGCTTTATGTGGGAATACAGCACAGATAAGTCACGCAAACCAGGGCTACGTCTCCTGCCATTGACTGAGAAAGGTGACAAATGTGTAGTACGTCCTCCCACACACATACTACAGAGAGGTGTGGATAGAGGGAGTGCTGGGCAGAGGCTATAAAAGATCATATATTCTAGTATACAGGTGCAGAAATATGACATGGTGGGTGATGAATTCTGATCCACCCCTCACCTTGTATTGTGTAACATGTAACTTATTACCTGCCAGAGCCCTTTACTAAAGTCCCCCTGGCCATTCATTGGGCTATGTGTTTGATTTAGGTATCTCACAAGAATGAGAGACCAGCCCTGAAATTAAAGACCAACCACAAAAAAATGGACCCAAACCAATAAAGTGCTCTGTGAAAGAAATATAGGGGGAGGGGGAGCTTTACTGATCTCCTTAGGGACATGTGAATGGCCTGGCTGTCTTGCTGACCTCCTAGCCTCAGTACTCGGAGATAAGTATGCAGCACTGAAACTTTGGTGGCATTTCACATCTAAATCAGAGGTCATCAATGGCAGCCTTTGGTTTTCTGTTAAAGTGGTGATTGGATTGGATGGGGCTTAGCCCAATATCGGGGGAATTCAACACCTTTGTAACATATGAAGGTCGGGATGGGAGGGACGTACAGATGAGGATGGGACGTGTCCTAACGGCTTCGCTGTTCTGCAAAGAGTGTTGGCACTTTAACAGAAGCATGTAACGTTCCTAAGATTAGGATTGTAATGTAGAGGTGACCAGCATTCGGGTATTTCTAGGAACAAAGCACCTCCATCTGTCCTGGAGATCCGGTATGGTTACCAGATAAACCCCCAGGAAGACATTGTCCAGTTTTCTGTATAAAATGCTCCATAGAGACCATTGAGGACCCGGGTCTGACCTCCAGCACACAGCATGTCCTCGGTACAGGTCAGCTCACCCTGAGCCATTGACTCTTCCCTGGGAAAGGTGTGGACTGGGAACCAGCAGACTCAGCTGTACTGTTATTTAACAATACATTATGTAACATATCATGTTCCTGAGCTTTAACATGCCATCATGTCTGGGTTTCATTTATCCACACAGATATGCACAGCTCACGTTTACCAGAGTGTGTCTGAACCCTAATTACCCGTAATCTGCTCTTAGTCACTGCAGAGTGAATCACTGCACACCAATATCCCGGGCCAGTCATCAGTAGCTGCAGCCTGTGGTGGGGGTGGCATGGCTGTCATGTTGAACCTCCATTTATTGGTATCCCTAAAAGCAATTTTTCAGTTTTAAAACTGTGTGCTATAATTATCTACTATCAGGTGACTCGGTTAAAGGACAGCTCTGACCCGGCATTCCATAGTGGAAATACATGTATGGCCACTGTTCTGCCTACCAAAAGATGCTCATAGTTTAGTTCTGCTCTATGGCCGAGAAGCCGAAAGGAGCTGTCTTCCAGAGCTTGCATCTTTGCACATGTCACTGCCCCGCCTCCTGCGTGCTCTGTGACCTATTGGGAAACATCAGCACACTGGTTCCGCCCATCTAAGTACCTCCCTCTCATGCTCCAGCGTAAGTGAAGCAACATTGGGCTTAACAAACATAAATAGTCACAGATGGGAATTTATCAAACCTGGAGCAGACAAAATCTGGAGCAGCTGTGCATGGCAACCAATCGGCTTCTCTCATTCATTTTTTAATCTTAACAAAACAAAACTGAAGAGAGAAGCTGATTGGTTGCCCTGCTCCAGCTTTGATACATTTCCCCCATGGCGTTTTGAGCCATGTAGCACAGCGGTGGTCTTTATGCTGTGCTGCCACATATATGTGTATGGCCTACGTCAATGCCTTGTGCTGAGAGTGCCCTCAATCATTCACCCCCCAGTGCTGTGATCACACGGTCAGTGACATCTCCAAGTCACACAGTGAGGGGGAGGAGCCGATAGGACTGGACCCAGATCACGTGATCATTGTGAATCCTATGCAATGCCACCGGCATTAAAAGAGAACTAACGCCAAACCTTTATTTTTTGGCTTTAGTTTTTTTTTGGGGTCACAGGAGTATATTTACTAATGTCCTCCTGTCACCCAAAGTCAGCATATAACGGGTTACTAGTATGCTATATACTGACAGAGCAGAGCCGCACTGCAGGCGGGAAGGATTCTGACACCCGCTGATTGACAGTTGGCTCTGCCCCCTCCCCTCTCTGTCCGTCCAATGATTGCTGGAGGAACAGAGAGGGGAGGGAGGATTCGCTGATTGACAGTCACCGCTCTTTGCAGGGAGAAGTCGTGAGCTGAGCGATCACTTGGCTCTCAATCTATAGAGCCGACATGTGACATCGGCAGTGTCCCCCACTGGCTCTAAGTATTGGGGAGAGTACATTTTACTTCTCCTTTAAGAGCTCTTAAAGGGCCAGCTGGGAATGAGTTAATTAGGGGAAGTCGATGAGAACCTGTTGCTTTGCACTTTATACTGAAAACACAATTTACTTTAAGAGTGGAATTCTCCATAAAACCTGTGTTGCTGTCAGAGGTAAAAGCAGCAATATAAATCATTTTATGACAGTTATTTATATCTGTTTTTAGATATATGATTGGATTGCCTTATCTCTGCACTATGTAGGTTAATGCCTAGCAGTGACGCAGGTAGCACATAGTTCAGCAGGAGTTCTAGCAGTGTTTTGTGAAGCCACAGGATCAACATGCTCTTGTTAAAGTGGACCTGTCACCCACAGCAATGTTCATTCATGATGAGGTCACTCTGACGCTCACATTGAGGATCACTTTACATTTCTGACTTTCTTTAGCATTCAAAGCCATTTTCTGGCTGCATTTCCTGTACGTGTTTCCTAGGGTGGAGGATATCGCCTGCCTGTTGTAGGCAAAACTCAGCGGCCCCTGAGTCTCGAATCGAGTCATACATCCGACCACAATTGTAGGTTCCAGAAATAACCCTATTTCATACCTGGAACTTGCAGACTGTGATCGGTGAAAGGGTTAAATGAAGTGTGGTTGTTTTTTTCCTGCCACATTTCCTGAACATAAGATTTCTCCTTGCAGATGTTTAAAGTTCACCTAGCATCAGATATAATAATGTTAGGTGGATGCATGCTGAGTGATGTGTAAGCGAAACAGTTACCTCTCACAGAGATCACAGTACTCATCCTGACCATGCCTTCAGCTGCTTTCCTGTCCACAAATACAAGACCATCTTTATTCAGGCATCATCCAGGGATCAGAGGTGATACAATCATATATATCCTGGTGCCTGTGCAGTTAACTAAGGTTGGTTTACAAATGTCTGACACACTATGGAGTAGTCTAAGAAAATGCAGCAGACTGGTGATCTCATATGAGCGTAGGAAAAGCCACTCGATTCGACCTCAAGGATCATGTGAATAGTAAATGGTGTCGCTTTATCTGACAGATTAGCCTCTTGCTGTATATTGTAACGTGAGGAATGTATTCATGCAGACTTGTAAAGTTGCTGAAATGTCCACTTGAACAGAAGTGCAGGTGTTGGGGAGGGGTGCGTGTATGCATGTAGATCAGGGGTAGGCAACCTTTGCACTCTGGCTGTGATGATACTACCAATCCCACCATGCCTGCAGCTGTCAGTCTTGCAATGCCCCATGGGACTTGGACTAGGAAATGGTACTATGTATATATTTATTGTTCTTCTTTCCTCTTCAGGTCTATCTAATTACACCCCAAAGCACTCTGTAGAATACAGTAAATGGCAGGATGAGAAGACGCAGGTGCGACCAGCTTCTTTAGACGGTGGGGACCATGAGGGCATGGTGAGTATGTGATTGGGAACTTTGATTATTGTAAACTAGATTTAAACTTTGGCTGTCATAGGTTATCGCATGCTTGTTACATAGGAGTGAATGATGTATTGCCGTGGTTCTCAGCTTCTCCTAAAAGTAGGTCACAACCCATGTTCAGTGGGTCGCCGCGTGCCATCCCCTTGCGCTCCTCGGCCTCCCCCTAGTGCAGCACTGCCACTTCTTGCGCTGAGCAGCCATTCAAAAGTGTCAGCTTGAGGTGGGGTGGGCTGGGGCTATGGCCGCGAGGGAACTCCATCCATGCGTGCATTGCTTACAGCTCCCTTGCGTGCCCTGTAGAGATGCCTGGACCGGAGTGACGTCACATTCTGGCTGCCGGCATCTCAACAGGGCACGCAAGGGAGCTATACAAGCAATGCACATATGGATGGAGCTCTGTCACAGCACAGCAGCCCACACTAGCCCCAGGCTGAGGATCCACTCCAATTCTCATAAGGTAAGGGAGTGGGTGGATCTTTAAAAAAAAAAAAAGAGATTTTTTTTTTGGTGTGTATGTGTGTGTGAGAGTGTCTGTGATTGTGTGTGTCTGTCAGTGTTTGTGAGGGCAGCGCAATAATCCCACAGTCCCTGTGTGTTCTGGTGCGGGAGGTGCATCGTGTTGCCATTCATTTGAATTGGACCCCAAACACACAGTTTGATTGCGCGGTATTACAATGCCATGCGTTCCAGTGCGGTGCAACCTAATGACCAAGGACAAATGTGGGTCCTGAGGTTACACAAGTTGAGAACCACTGGTGCGTTGTATAGTAACATTTAGGAGGAGTGGTGCTGCCGCACAGTGTTCACATGTGGTACTGCAGGGGTACAAGGGGTAAGAATGACTACATTTCTTTGTATGCTTCCCTCACACCTCTATTATGTTCATGTAAAAGAATGTAATCTTTTTGTTATGGCCACTCATAGCTGGGCAAGCTATAACCAGGAAAATAAAATCATGAGATCTAATGGCAAATAGCACCTCACGCCAAACCCTGTGTAGCTGCAAGCACTATAAGAAGTGTTACCCTCTAAATGTACCAAATTCTAATAATGAATGTGCTGCGCATCAAGCTTGAAGCGCAGCACATTCATTATGATAAAATCATGAGATCTCTTGATGATATGTACCACTTAGCTGACTTTTTGTTTTATTTAGTAAGGGAGTACAGGGACACCGTTTCTGATGGTGTTGGGTTCCAGGGGCCCAGAGGTCATTTAGAGAGTAATTATTATTATTGTTATTATTATTATACAGGATTTATATAGCGCAGTGTATGTATGTATGTATATATATATATATATATATGTATGTATATATATGTATGTATATAT